CTCGATCCCCATTGAACCGCTCAGGGGTCGGTACTCTTGGTTCTGGCAGAGGAATTGTAAATGCTGCTCCAGTGGAAGGCCTGCTGAACCCGTGGCGGGAGGTGTTCCCACTGAGCCCAATTGTTGTGGGTGCCGGTGCGGCCAGGCTCTGAACCTGTCCCTCCAGGTGCTTGTATCCCTCTTCCAGGGTTTTCACCACCGCTCGTGTGAGTGCTGCCAGATGTTGGCACATCTCTTCCCAGGGTGAAGGTCCTCCTCCAGACTCGTCATGGCCCTATGGTTCTGTCAGGGATCCACAGCGGTAGCCTCTAGCACTCCACAGACCGGATTTCCCCCAAGGCACGGAATCTAAGTCCCTACCTGCTTGTTCACCAGGGCCCCTGATGGTGGGGATGGACTTGAAGCAGGCCGAGACCAGGTCACAAGAGCAGCGTCAGGCAGGCCGGGTCGGTAACAGTGGTGGCGGCGTGGTACAAAATCAGCAGGCAGAGGAATAAACAGGTCACAACCCGGGTTCGTTAACAGGAGATCAGAACGTGCAGGGTTAAGCAGGAGAAATGGTCAGAAAAGCCAGGGATCAGAACAGGAGACAGGCAGCAAATCAGGGTCAGGCAGGGTCTGCAACAAGACAATCTACTAAACAGGAACTTCAGGAAAACAGGTAAGACCATACGGCACTTGAGCATTGCAAGAGCTGGGTTTAAATAGCCCCGCCCGACACTCTGACAGGCGCTCCTGGGTCCTAGTGCCTGCCCGGCGCCGTCATTGGTGACAGGCGCGCCTGGGTCCTATTGCCTGCCTGCCTGTATGTCTTGTCAGGATTTCTACGCATGTGCAGATTCAATCGCCGTGGAGATCTTCCATTCCCTGAACAGTATATTGTCTGTGCCCTGTATATTGTCACTGCCCCGTATATTGTCCGTGCCCCGTATATTGTCCCTTCCCCGTATATTGTCCCTGCCCCGTATATTGCCCCTGCCCCGTATATTGTCCCTGCCCCGTATATTGTCTCTGCTCCGTATATTGTCTCTGCCCCGTATATTGTCCCTGCCCGTATATTGTCCCTGCCCCGTATATTGTCCCTGCCCCGTACATTGTCCCTGCCCCGTACATTGTCCCTGCCCCGTTACATTGTCCCTGCCTCCGTATATTGTCCCTGCTGTTGTGGAATTTCATTCAGACCACACTCATAGGTTGAACAAAAGAAGTGTTTCTTCACATCATACACATGCGTGGGCCAGTCTAGGGGAGGACTGGCCAACAGTTGCTATTTTACAGCGGGTATATATACTGAGTAGGAGGCACAAATGTGGTTGCTCAACATTGCTAGCAGCTTGTCACCATATCCAGTTTGGAATAAATGACCAGCTATGGCATTTTACATTATAACTAGACAATAAACAAGGTGCAGGGCAACCTCTGACATGTTCCCAAATGGTCATGTCATAAAACATGACTAGGGTAACCCATCTCCAAGTCCTTTCTACATCTCACCATAGCTACCCTTCCCAACTTATACTAAAGTAAGAAATGGCCACAGACTCGATTTGGAGAAAATTGGCCAACTTGGCCATTTATGGACACATAAACCAAAATAACATTCCTTAAAACAGGAAAACATATACATGAACCAATGGCCATAACATATACGTGAACCAATGGCCATAACATATACGTGAACCAATGGCCGTAACACTTACGTGAACCAATGACCATAACATATACGTGAACCAATGGCCATAACACTTACATGAACCAATGGCCATACAGTTGCAAGAAAAAGTATGTGAACCCCTTGGGATTACGTGGAGTTTTACATGAATTGGGCATAAAAATGTGCTCTGAACCTCATCTAAGTCACAACAATAGAAGAACACAGTCTGCTGAACATAATACTACACAAACATTAGATGTTGCCATGGTATAATTGCACATAACATGTAAACATTCACAGTGCAGGGAGGAAAAAGTATGTGAGGCCCTAGCTTAATGACTTCTCCCAGAGCTAATTGGAGCCAGGAATGAGCCAACCTTGACTCCAATCAGTGTGATGATATTGGATGTGTTGCTGACAGCTGTCCTGCCCTTAAAAAACACAAACCTGTTTTGGGTTTACTGGTTTCAAGAAGCACTGTCTGATGTGAACCATGCCTCGCAGAAAAGAGCTCTCAGAAGACCTACCATCAAGAATTGTTGACTTGCATGAAGCTGGAAAGGGTTACAAAAGTATCTCCTTGAGCCTTGATGTTCATGTGTCCACGGTAAGACAGACTGTCTACAAATGGAGAAAGTTTAGCACTGTTGCTACTCTCCCTAGGGCGTGGTCGTCCTGTAAAAATGACTGCAAGAGCACAGCGCAGAATGCTGCATGAGGTAAAGAAGAATCCCAGAGTGTCAGCTAAAGACCTACAGAAATCTCTGGCACATGCTAACATTTTTGTTGACACATCTACAATAAGGAAAACATGAAACAAGAATGGAGTACATGGGAGGACACCACGGAGGAAGCCATTGCTGTCCAAAAAGAATATTGCAGCACGTTTGAAGTTTGCAAAAGAGCACCTGGATGTTCCACAGCACTACTGGCAAAATATACTGTGGACAGATGAAACCAAGATTGAGTTGTTTGGGAAGAACACACAACACTATGTGTGGAGAAAAAAGGCACAGCACACCAACATCAAAACCTCATCCCCACTGTGAAACATGGAGGAGGGAGCATCATGGTTTGGGGCTGCTTTGCTGCCTCAGGGCCTGGACGGAATGTTGTCATTGATGGGAAAATGAATTCCAGAGTTTATCAAGACATTTTGCAGGAAAATGTACGACCATCTTGTCCGCCAACTGAAGCTCCGCAGAGGATGGGTGATGCAACAGGACAATGACCCAAAGCATACAAGTCATTCAACAAAACAATGGCTGCAACAGCACAGAATACGCCTTCTGGAGTGGCCCAGTCAGAGTCCTGACCTCAACCCCATTGAAATGCTGTGGTATGACCTTAAGAGAGAGATTCACACCAGACATCCCAAGAATATTGCTACACTGAAACAGTTTTTGTGAAGAGGAGTGGTCCAAAATGACTCCAGATCGTTGTGCAGGTCTGATCTGCAACTACAGGAAACGTTTGGTTGAGGTTATTGCTGCCAAAGGAGGGTCAACCAGTTATTAAGTCCAAAGGTTCACATACTTTTTCCTCCCTGCACTGTGAATGTTTACATGGTATGTGCAATTAAACCATGGCAACATCTAATGTTTGTGTAGTATTATGTTCAGCAGACTGTGTTCTTCTATTGTTGTGACTTAGATGACGTTCAGAGCACATTTTATGCCCAATTCATGCAAAACTCCACGTAATCCCAAGGGGTTCACATACTTTTTCTTGCAACTGTAACATAACATATACGTGAACCAATGGCGAATACATATACATGAACCAATGGCCATAACATATACATGAACCAATGGCCATAACATACAGGTTGCCCGTCTTGGGAGGCACTTGAGAACCAACATCAGGTTGTGTATCTGCGTTACTACTTCACGATCTCCAGCCACAAAACACTGGCTCGGGGTCAAACCAACTTCTCTGCAGATACCATCTTGTCACCTCTTCCCAGATAATACCCCATAAACTGGGATCCAACAGAGGACACCATACCTTAGATGGGTCACTGCTATTAACTGTTCCGAAATGTTACTTAAAGCGGAGCTCCACCCAAAAGGGGAAGTTAAGCTTTAAGCCTTTGTCCCCCTGCTCCCCATTAAGAACTGGCACCTTACACACTGCGATCGCCTAGGCTCCTAGCTCCCAATCTGCACCGCCATTTGCGGCTGTCAATCACCAGGTCCCATCCAGTGATTACCTGCCGGCGCTGGCACCCGAGAATCTCCTACAGGGAGGAGGACTGGTTTGTTTACTAACAGTCCTCCTACCTGTCAGAGCGGGACACAGCACAACACAGCCATCCATATCAGTGTGCTTACAGTGAAGCACACAGACCCCCTAGTAAAACATGTCCTGCACACACTTAACCCTTTGATAGCCCCTTATTGTTAACCCCTTCCTGCCCAGTGCCATTAGTACAGTGTCAGTGCTTTTCTTGTTTAACACTGATCACTATATTAGTGTCACTGGGGATGTCAGTGACACCAAGTCAGTTCCCCTCCCCCCAGTGTCAGAATGCCTGCCACAGTCCTGCTATAAGTGGCTGATCGCCGCCATTACTAGTAGAGAAAAAAAGAATCCCAGTATCTATACCACCATTTGTAGACACTATAAGTTTTGCGTAAACCAATTAATTTACACGTATCAGGATTTTTTTTTCAGCGAAGACACGCTGAGCAGAATACATTTTGGCTGAAATTTATGCCGAAATTTGATTTTTTTAATTTTTTTACTGGACGTTTTTAATAGCAAAAAGTCAAAAATATTGTTTTTTTCATAACAAACATTTGACATCATTGTAAATTATTCTGGTATTGATACATTGTTTCATTCCTTATAGAGATTCACATTTTTGCTTCAATCTGATTTTATTAGTTGTGGCAAACGGGAATTATAATAAAACAAATCTATAAATATTTCAATACTATTAAGTCTTCAACATATAAAACAGATATATACAGTATAACTACAACCCAAAATATCACAGAGATATACTAAATCCTTATCAGATGGAAGAAGGGCAGAGGGGGAGACATCATGGTGGAGGAAGAATGGATTCTGCTAAGAGTGCACAGAGTCACCGAAGAAGAGTACAGAAAGAAGAACATGCCAATCAGAGGAGAACCATCGGGGTCTGAGGATGGAGGACACCGGGAACACAAGGTGGGAAGAGGTAATGACAGCAACTCTCCTCCACCATCCACACTACATTCTCTCACAATTCTCCTCCCCCCACCATCCACACTACATTCTCTGACAGCTATCTTCCCCCCACCATCCACACTACATTCTCTGACAGCTCTCCTCCCACCATCCACACTACATTCTCTGACAGCTCTCCTCCCCCACCATCCACACTACATTCTCTGACAGCTCTCCTCCACCATCCACACTACATTCTCTGACAGCTCTCCTCCCCCACAGGCCACACTACATTCTCCGACAGCTCTCCTTCCCCCTCCATCCACACTACATTCTCTGGCAGTTCACCTTACACCATCTACAGTGCACTTGGTTTTCAGGTGTTTAACAAGCTTATCTTTTTTATAGAAAGATTTCCCGCACTCTGAACATAAATAGGGACGCTCACCCGTGTGAATTATCTGGTGTTGCGCAAGGTTTCCTTTTCTAGCGAAATATTTCCCGCACTTGCAACATGAATAAGGATGTTCACCCGTGTGAACTTTTTGATGTTCAACAAGATTGTCTTTCCTAAAGAAAGATTTCCCGCACTCTGAACATGAATAAGGACGCTCACCCGTGTGAATTCTCTGATGTTTAACAAGGCATTCTTTATGATTGAAAGATTTCCCGCACTCTGAACATGAAAAAGGACGCTCGCCCGTGTGAATTCTCTGATGTTTGACAAGGCCTCCTTTTTGAGTGAAAGATTTCCCACACTCTGAACATGAATAGGGTTGCACGTCCATGTGAATTCTCTGATGTTTGACAAGGCCTCTTTTATCAGTGAAAGATTTCCCGCACTCTGAACAGGAAAACGGACGCTCACCTGTGTGAATTCTCTGATGTATAACAAGGTCTCCCTTGTCAGTGAAAGATTTCTCACACTCTGAACATGAATAAGGACGCTCAGCCATGTGAATTCTTTGATGTTTAACAAGGTCTGCTTTGTCAGTGAAAGATTTCCCGCACTCTGAACATGAAAAGGGACGTTCACCCATGTGAAATCTTTGGTGTTTCACAAAGTTTCCTTTTTGAGTGAAAGTTTTCCCGCACTCTGAACATGAATAGGGACGCTCACCCGTGTGATACTTCTGGTGTTGCACAAGGTTTCCTTTCTGAGTGAATGATTTCCCACACTCTGAACATGAATGAGGACGCTTACCAATGTGAATTTTCTGATGTTTAGCGAGGTCTCCTTTGTCAATGAAAGATTTCCCACACTCTGAACATGAATAGGGACGCTCACCCGTGTGAATTCTCTGATGTCTAATTAGATTATCCTTCTTATAGAAAGATTTCCCGCACTCTGAACATGAATAGGGACGCTCACCCGTGTGATATTTCTGGTGTTGCAGAAGGTTTCCTTTCTGAGTGAAAGATTTCCCGCACTCTGCACATGAATAAGGACGCTCACCTGTGTGAACTCTCTGGTGCTGAATAAAATTTTCTTTCCTATTGAAACATTTCTCACACTCTGAACATGAGAATATATTTCCACCTCTGTGAACTCCTACATGGGGTGAGGAAGATTCCTTGGGATTAGATGCATCTGTTGATCTATCTGCAGTGTGGGATCCTAAATGGACATTTGCACTCCTAGTATGTGATTGGTCAGAAGATTCCCCCTGATCAGAGGGATCCATTGATGTCTCTGGACAGGAAGGTCTGTGATGGATATATGGTGTATTTGGATTCACTCCTGGAGAATCCTGTGTGATGGCATTATCTTCTGACTTCCAATCAGCAGATAATAGAAGACATCTCTCCAAGGAATTCCTGACATCAGCGCCATCTGATGGAGAGAAATGGAAGAAATCTCAGAATTCACAAATAACTGGAGATTTAGCTCCTCCCCCCGTCAGTGGAATAAGTGGAAATGTCGATCTCACAGCTGGGCTCCTGTTCTCCCTCCAAAATCTATCAGAAAAGTGTTCCGGCTGAGTACATAATATGATCTGCAGATGGACCTTCCATATGGTGTCCAGTATCTCCTCATTTGTTGGGAACGTGACGTTATATTGAGGAATGGAGATGGACCTTCCATATGGTGTCCAGTATCTCCTCCTCATTTGTTGAGAACATGACGTTATATTGAGGAATGGAGATGGACCTTTCATATGGTGTCCAGTATCTCCTCCTCATTTGTTGAGAACATGACGTTATATTGAGGAATGGAGATGGACCTTTCATATGGTGTCCAGTATTTCCTCCTCATTTGTTGGGAACACGACATTTATATTTAGGAATGGAGATGGACCCTTTCATCTACACTTCATTTGCTATAAGCAATTAGCTGCAGGGTGCTACACAGGTCCAGGGCAGTGGTCCATCCCTAAGAAATTCAGAACCTGAAGATCCCTCTGAGAGTGCGCCCAGCCTTACGGGAGAAGCCTTGACCATTTATAGGGACCAGTGACTTTGACAGGTAATACGGGGTCAACCTGTTTCTCTGTTACTGTAATAACTAGGACTGTGTTTGTAACGTATTCACCTGACAGTGTAAACTTTTCAAACTTTCAGAGTCTTTTCCTGAACTGCTCAGAGCTTAGACTTAGTCCATCTAACACTACCTATGCCCAGATTTATAATACTGCTGTTCTGGGGTGACTCCATTGCTCCTCCATCCAGTGTGGTGATGCCGTAAGATAATAGTGCAATGGTCTATTAAAGGGTTAGTTTATCTTAACAGAAAAACTAAACGCGACCTAACACAGGACTCCTTTCCCACCCTCCCAGGTACATGTAATGGTGCTGACCAATCAGAATCCATCTAGTCCATCCTGGCAGCGTAGTACGGAGAAGAGAGAGAGCGAGAGCATGGCTTGCCCCCATCCCTCTGTTCTGTTGCAGAACCAGACATTACCCTATCTGGAACCAACTCCTGGTACATACCGGTCTAGTGAACTCAGCCTGGCCCTAACCCAGCAGGTACACTCCCTTACTGCCTAGACAAGAACCGGGCCAGGCCAGTCCACTAAGGGTGTGGTCCCCTCCAAGGACTGAAAAGGAAGTGGGTTCCATGTATCTTTCTACCCGCAAAGAGGAAAGGACTGGGGGGTGCGGAGATGGATTAGAGTCCCACCCTGAGGACTTCAAGGTAGGACGTAAAAAGGAGAGCGGGTTGAGGACTGCAAGCAAGAATCCTGAACTAAGCCTCCTACCACCCAGTTCCAAGCGATTCATCTACTTTGGAAATAGGAAACACAATAATTGACCACCGGGCTGCTATTGGAAGCTATAGAGCCAAACTGACAGTCACCCTCCCCCTGAGACCCCCCCCCCCCCCCCCAAGAAAAACCCACAGTTTACTACGCTTCAGGTATGAAAGAACACAATGAGTGATCAGTACCAATCACTCATTGTGTTCATTCAGGGAAGGAAGGGGCTGGTAAATGTGACATATTTACGGGACCCTTCCGCCACTCTCCATCCCGAAGGATCCTATTGTGTGCTAGCAGCTGCTGGTGGGAAGGAGAGGAGGGAAGCTGGCAGCACTGTGGGGGCACAGGGAGAAATGTATAATGCACATGGAGGGTGCAATTACTAGAACCGATCCCCTGTATGGCTCTCTTTGCAGCAGCTAAAGCCAGCAGGAGGGAGAGGAGAAGAAGCCGGCTTTCAGGTGCTGCAGAGAGAGCCATACAGGGGATCAGTTTGAGTAATTGCTGATCACCCTCACTACCCACATCTGATTCACCCAGCCCCCCTACTGTCCTGGGCCCCGTACAGGAGAACCGGTGGAACCCTCTTATCCACGGCCCTGACTGACCAGTTCAGCAGAAGGACTTCCTTTTAAAGCGATGTTTTTGGTGATTGTTCATCCTTTGTTGTAAGCCGGGGCCAGGGTCGCGGCCTACTGTGAGTATGTGGAACCGGATTAAATGCATCATGGGGGGAACTGCATGCTGATACCTTTATATTGTCTCACAAGTGGGTTAGCATCACCTCATAGCTGGAGGCCAAATTATATCACCAGGCCCCACACAAAGAACTACTACGTATTATCACCTGCCAGCGAAAACCTGTCCTGATACTGGCTACAGAGACATTTTGAAGGGAAAAGCGCTGATTGTCCTCCATCAGCTCTTCATAACACTGCACATGTCACCATGTCCAACCTGGAGGCAAAGAGGGGAACCTCTGCAGGTCTTGCACACTGGGCTTCCAGTCAAGGTTCCTCAGAAGGTTCTGCTCTACAGTAGGCCCTAAATTAACAGTGGAATCGGATCAAAGCCAGCACGGGGGGAACTGCATGCTGATACCTTTATATTGTCTCACACGTGGGTTAGCGTCACCTCATGGCTGGAGACCAAATTATACCAGCCACACCAAGAACTACGTCTTATGACCTGCCAGCAAAACCTGTCCTGATATTGGCTACAGAGACATTTTGAAGGGAAAAGCACTGATTGTCCTCCACCAGCTCTTCATAACACTGCACACGTCACCATGTCCAACCTGGAGGCAAAGAGGGGAACCACTGCAGGTCTTGCACACTGGTTTCCAGTCAAGGTTCCTCGGAAGGTTCTGCTCTACAGTAGGCCCTAACTTAGGCACCTGGTCAATCAGTAGGGCTCACCAAGTGCAAAGCTACCCCTACCTACAGAACCTCCACCACCAACTACCACCGTTCTCTCTCCTGAACTGGCTGCTGATCCTTATCTTGCTTGACTACGTGATATCGAAGGTTAACTGAATTGTACGTTTGGTTCATCTCCCCAATACACTGTAAAGCACCTTCAGTTCTGTACGGGTTCCATAGAAGCTGTGTGGCGATGTCCATACCTTTTTATGGCTTAGTTGCATGCCAATACATGAAAAGTCCGGTCCTTGGAACCCATCCCGGGGGCCCGCTAAGGGGAAACTCCACTGTACACTTCAGTCTACATCTTTGCAGCGCCCTCACTTTTCACCTCCCACTACGAGGTCCGGTCTTCTCCTACATATATCCCATCAGAAGCAGGAAGTGACACATACGGGGGAAGGCTCATCACAGCACCAATTGTTAACCCTTGCAACACCACACATTAACCCTTTATTAGGCAAACATATATTTAAACCTTTTAGCACCTGCAGGAGAATGGGAAGATCTGAGGATTATCAAACATTGTTCCTTAAACTACAAGCCTTCTACTCAGAAGTAAAATGAGATTGTGACCCTTTTCTTCCATAGTGCCTGTACTTACTTGTGTTGATGGTTAGAGAAATTTCTTCCTGCTTACTCTTCATAACCATCCCAGCCTCCTCCGTGGACGGCTGATCTCCCCCCACATACGTCTCCTCTTCTTCCATTTTAACCTCAACTTTTATATTAATCCGCTCTTCACCCTAAACCCCAAAATAATGAAAAAAAATTGTGTGTGTGTATATATATATATATATATATATATATATATATATATATATATATATAAAAAAAGTCAAATTAGAAATGTAAAAAATAAAATAAAATACACAAATGACAGCAGATTTGCATTCCTCACTACATCATTTCATGTTTTTTTTTTTCTTTTTTAAATAAATATAAGAGGTGTGAGTACCTGAATGGGATCTGGTGTCAGGCTCTTGCAGTATCTGTACATAAGAGCTCAGACTGGGAAAAGGAGAAGCATAACAAGCAGCCAATAAGCTGCAATTCTAACAAGGGATGAGAGCAGAGTGACAGAGAGATGAGCTCATCAGTCTGCTGCTTCTCCTTTTACTGTCCAGTCACAGGCTGGGGGAGGAGCAAGACTAGCAGGCGTTACTGACCTAAAGCATATAGTAGATAAATCAGGTCTACTGCCCATTTCGTGTGAGCCTAGGAAGCCAAGGACCCGCTCCCTAGTAGCATATCATCACATCAGCCTGGACTAACAGTAGCAAGAAAAGGCCTACGTCAACCAGTATGCACCTTCCCTTGGAAGAACACAAGGAGGAAGAGGACCCGTGATGGCAGATGACACGCACAGTAAAAAAAAGGATCATATATTGATTTAAAAGAAAAAAAAAAAACACAATAAAAATGTAGGGTGCTTAAAGGAGCTAGAAACCAAAAATGTAGAAAACAAGAAACAACATAGAAGAATGTAATCTCATAGCTTAGAATACATATTTAGGTCTACATGCCTACAAGCCACCTACCTGATCATGATGTGGGATCATCTGATCCTCCTGTATGGAATCCTGGGAATACGGAGGATGGGGATAACTCTCACCCTAAACCCCAAAAAATATAAAATATATTTATAAAAAGGATCAAGAGATTACATCTTATAGCTTAGAACACTTTTGAGTTCTAATTACTCAGTCCCACCTACCTGATGATGGTGGGGGATAGTTTGATCTTCCTGTTTGGAATCCCGGGAATACAGAGGACCACCCTCCTCCATAGACTGCTGATCCCCAAACATCTGTTCTTTTTCCACTTTAACCTCAACTTTGATGTCTTTCAGTTCTTCACCCTAAAGACCAAATATGATAGAACGGATTTGTAAAAGGAAACAAGAGACGACATAGAAGAATAAATACAATAAAAAATGTAGCGCTACTCCTTTAGGTACATACACACATATATATATATAACAAATTAATTAGTGATATGTGAACTCAAAATTATATCAAAAAATTGTGATAGTGATATTAAAATTAATTAGTGCCCATTACTCAAAAAATCTACAAAGTTAATTCAGGTAGCCTAAAACATGTGAAAAAAAAAAATCCATTTTTATATATATATATAATTCTGTGAATATAAAATCATACGTGCCTCTCGTGTAGTGAAAACCACAATAGAACAATAAATAGAACAGTGCTCTCAAAGTCCAATAAATGCTGATGGTGACCAAAAAATGACAAACAATCGTGCTTCCAATAACTACTGATGGTGACCATAAATTGACAGAAACTCGTGTAGATATTTGTGTGCATGTGAATATGACAATCCGACCACCATCTGGATAAGCCTCTCACCTCATCACTTCGACCCTTGCGGATCAAAGCGCTTTAGTGGATCCCTCTCACGGATCCTCCAAGTAAGCTATCACTCCAAATGTTGCTCCTTGTCGCACCCAAATCTCTCAGAAATTAGTACTCCACCAATGGCTCCTCTCCAGGTAAGATACAGCATCAATCTCTCAAATGAGACATAAAATAGATCCTCCCATAGTGCAGTATATTTTATTTGTGAAGTAGGGACAAATAACAAACATCCTCACTCACGTAGCAGCCGTATCCAATTCAAAACCTCATGCTTTCGGATGAGGGCATGTATGTATGGGTGTACAGGTGTACCAAGATGGCCACCACGCCGGAAATGCGTCACTACGTCAGGCCGACGCGTTGCGTCACAGTGTCATGTGACTTCCTTAGGGCTCTATGGGAGGATCTATTTTATGTCTCATTTGAGAGATTGATGCTGCATCTTACCTGGAGAGGAGCCATTGGTGGAGTACTAATTTCTGAGAGATTTGGGTGCGACAAGGAGCAACATTTGGAGTGATAGCTTACTTGGAGGATCCATGAGAGGGATCCACTAAAGCGCTTTGATCCGCAAGGGTCGAAGTGATGAGGTGAGAGGCTTATCCAGATGGTGGTCGGATTGTCATATTCACATGCACACAAATATCTACACGAGTTTCTGTCAATTTATGGTCACCATCAGTAGTTATTGGAAGCACGATTGTTTGTCATTTTTTGGTCACCATCAGCATTTATTGGACTTTGAGAGCACTGTTCTATTTATTGTTATATTGTGGTTTTCACTACAAGAGAGGCACGTGTGATGTTATATTCACAGAATTATATATATATATAAAAATTGATTTTTTTTTTTCACGTTTTAGGCTACCTGAATTAACTTTGTAGATTTTTTGAGTAATGGGCACTAATTAATTTTAATTGATATCACTATCACAATTTTTTTATGTAATTTGAGTTCACATATCACTAATTAATTTGTGTTATATATATATATATATATATATATATATACATGTATGTACCTAAAGGAGTAGCGCTACATTTTTTTTATTGTATTTATTTATGACAATCACTGGTATATGATTTAATGTTAGCAGCTTCTCTTGGTTTATTATATAGTTGAAACACTTGTGAGCGCAGGAGGTTCACACCACTACTGTGACATAGAAGAATGTTATCTCAAAGCGTAGAATTCTACATTGAATATGAGTTCTAATTGCTCAGTTCCATCTACCTGATGATGGTGAGGGATGGCATGGCCTTCCTGTGTGGAATACCGGGAATACAGAGGACGGGGACATCTCTCTGGTGGGTTCCCATGACTGGATCCATCTGTAGGAAACACACACACTGATTCAATACATTGTTTCTATGTGTTTATCAGATGATGGGGGATCTAGGTGGACCCTCCGTACTGCTCTCTCCTTTCCAATAAAGTCTCCTCTTACCCGGTGATGTGAGGGGCGGCTGATTGTCCATCATGACGTCCTTGTAGAGGTCCTTGTGTCCTTCTAAATACTCCCACTCCTCCATGGAGAAATAGACAGTGACACCCTGACACCTTATAGGAACCTGACACACACAATGATACAGTCACCATCCAGACACATCCCTTGTCTGTTACTGGAGAATGTCCCAGAATTCCCGGCACCGCTCACCTCTCCTGTCAGCAGATCATGGATTTTGTTGGTGACTTCCACAATTTTCTTGCAATTGTTCCTCTTGGTTTCAGGGAATGAGGTGAAGGCACTGTGATGGTTAAATGGTCACCAGAAGAACTCTGCACACCAGTAGGATCATGTGACCTCCCAGAATCCTACTCACCTCTCCGGTCAGGTCTGTGTTTTATAAATAGAGATGAGTGATGCCATGTGACCTCCCAGAATCCTCCTCACCTCTCCGGTCAGGTCTGTGTTCTATTAATAGAGACCAGAGTGATATCATGTGAACTCCCAGAATCCTCCTCACCTCTCCGGTCAGGTCTGTGTTTTATTAATAGAGATGAGATTGACGTCATGTGACCTCCCAGAATCCTCCTCACCTCTCCGGTCAGGTCTGTGTTTTATTGATAGAGACAAGAGTTACATCATGTGACCTCCCAGAATCCTCCTCACCTCTCCCGGTCAGGTCTGTGTTTTATTAATAGAGATGAGAGTGATGTCATGTGACGTCCCAGAATCCTCCTCACCTCTCCAGTCAGGTCTGTGTTTTATTAACAGAGATAAGAGTGATCTCTCCCTCTCTTCCGGCGCATTCCCCTACCCTCTGAAGCATGCACACATCACCCCCATACTTAAAAATCCCTCCCTGGACCCCAATGACCCGAACAACCTCAGAACCATCTCCCTGCTCCCATTCACATCCAAACTCCTCGACTGCTTAGTCTAAACTCGCCTAAGCTCTCACCTCAATGACAACAGCCTCCTCGATCCCCTACAGTCCGGCTTCCGTGCCCTACATTCCACTGAAACCGCCTTACTCAAACTCTCCAACGACCTTCTAACCGCCAAAGCTAATGGCCTCTATTCAGTGCTCCTACTCCTTGACCTCTCCGCGGCCTTCGACACAGTCGACCACCCACGCCTCCTCAAAAAAAACTACACTCCCTCGGCCTCAGAGATTCCGCTCTCTTCTGGCTCTCATCCTACCTATGACAACGCTCTTTCGGCGTTACCTATAACGCTACCACCTCCCCTTCACTCCCCCTCTCTGTTGGGGTCCCTCAAGGCTCCGTCCTCGGGTCTCTTTTCTTCTCCATCTACACCTCCTCCCTTGGCCAATTCATACACTCTCACGGCTTCAACTACCACCTCTATGCAGACGACACACAAATCTATCTCTCAACACCCCACCTCACCCCCTCAGTCTCCACCCGAATCACAAACCTACTATACGACATATCAGACTGGATGTTGCTCCACTTCCTTTAAACTGAACCTCTCCAAAACTGAGCTCCTAGTCTTCCCCCCAGCCTGCACACCCCCCCCCCCCCCCCATTGACTTCTCCATCACGTCCAACAATACCACTATCAGATCCGCCCAGCAAGGCCAGAGTACTTGGTGTCATTCTGGACTCCAACCTATCCTTCCAGCCCAAAGTCCAATCTTTAACAAACTCATGCAGACTCCACCTCCGCAATATCGCCAAAATCCGCTCGTTCCTAACCCCAGAAACCACTAAACAGCTCATCCACTCCCTCATCATATCACGACTCGATTACTGTAACTCCCTCCTCACTGGCCACAGGCTATCCCCGCTTCAATCGATCCTGAATACGGCAGCCAGACTCATTCACCTTACCAACCACTCCGTTTCTGCCACCCCCCTCTGCCAATCCCTCCACTGGCTTCCGATTGTGCAATGGATCAAATTCAAAATCCTAACACTGACGTACAAAGCTTTCCACCATACTGCCCCAAATTACATCACCGAACTAATATCCAAGTACCACCCAGCACGCACACTCCGCTCCTTACAAGACCTCCTTCTCTCTAGTTCCCTGGTCCTCCTCCTCCCACGCCCGCCTCCAGGATTTCTCCAGGGTGTCACCCATCCTCTGGAACTCCCTGCCCCAACCCATCAGACTATCACCTACTCTCCTCTCCTTTAGGCGCACCCTGAAAACCCACCTCTTCAGGGAAGCCTACCCCACCCCCTGCTAATTTGCCGACCTACTCCACTCTTCCTACCACTCCATCCCCCACAGCTATCTCTTCCTGTACTACTATCTCCTCCCTCCTAGATTGTAAGCTGGAAAGAGCGGGGCCCTCGAACCCCTCGTGTATCGCATTGTATTGTTATTGTACTGTCTCATGTATTGTCTCCCTTTGTAATGTACAGCGCTGAGCAAACTGTTGGCGCTTTATAAATACTGTATAATAAAAATGTCATGGAGGAAGCATGAGAAGTAAGATGTCATGGAGCCGTAACTATGGAGGAAGAGGACAGACATGACAGGGGGGTTACTGGGTGTAAATATAAAATAATAGCTTATTAAAGACTTTCTGGTAGGTTAATTGGCTCCTGTCTAAATTGTCCCTATAATGTGTATATATATGGATGTAAGTTAGGGACCTTAGATTGCACGCCCCTTGAGGGTTAGGGACTGATGTGAATGTACAATATATATGTAAAGCGCTGCGTAAATTGACGGCGCTATATAAGTACCTGAAATAAATTACCTCGTCTGCTGCCACTTCCAATGGTCTTCTCTATACTTCCTCCCAACTCACCTCTCCCTGGAACTTCCTTTTTAGACCCCCAAATCACTTCCTGTTCCTAAGTGACCTCACTTCCTGTCTGCGCCTGAAACCACTTCCTTCCCATATGTGGGATCACTTCCTGTCAGTCATGCTCTTCCTGTCTCCTTGTTCTGCTCCATATAACTTGAATAGTATTTGGGGGTTGGGTTATATATATGTGTACCTGTTATTCTATGATATTTATTCAGTACAGCTTCCCAGAATCCTTCTGAAATGAACTTTAAGGAGGCCTTGAGAAAGAGAGAGGCTTCTGGCGATGAGCAGCAGAGAAGTCTTCTGTGAAGAACTCTAACAAAAAAAGCAAGAGATGAGAGCATCTCAGAGTTTGACTGGCAGTACCTAGAGGGGAGAAGGAAGGTTGTTAGGTGGGCGGTGGGGACGGAACAGGGACGGGAAGCTCCAGTGCCTGTCTCCAACCGTTTTTTGAGCCACCAATTTAAATATTTCCTCATCAGGTGCTGCTTCTGAATGTAGTTCAGAATCTGAAATGGAGTTTGAGGAGGCCTCGAGAAAGAGAGAGACTTCTGGTGATGAGCAGCAGAGAGGAGCTAAGAAGTAATCCACCCAATAACCCAAATGGCAGTTCCCCCTCCACTAAAAGTGGTGTAAATGTCGCCAGCATTAAGTCAGTAAGCGCTCGTTCTATGGCCTTCTTTTTTTATTCAGCCAGTTAGATGCTGAAATGTTATTTTTGCAAGAGACTAGGCTCACCTCCTTGGCAGATATTCATATGGCTGAGAGAGTGGAGGTATGGTCCATCTAACTGGTCTCTTGCAGCCGAGCCTTGCAGCGGTGTTTTTAAAACCGGCATGGTAACTGGTTATTGAGGTGGAGATTGGGAGATGTATGGTCTTAGACGTCCTTGTGGGAGGGCAGGACCTGTGCCTAATTAATGTTTATGGGGCGCACACAAAGTGGGACAGGAAATGCCTTTTTACAAGGATCAAGCCATTTCTTTTTACATCCCGGCAAGTGGTCTTTGGAGGTGACTTTAATACTGTGACTAGGTCCAAGGACAGGAAGGACTTCAAAGACAAGCTGGGATATGATAGAGTTTTTTTAAATAGTATGGTTAGGGATTCTGGTCTTGTGGATGTGCACATTAAGCACCTCCCAGACGACACAGGGCTCACCTTTTATCAAAGTAATAGCCAGAATAGGATAGATAGGTTTTTTTTTTTAAAGGAGACCTCTGCTTTCTCTCCCCCAGTGGTGCAGGCAGTAGAGTTGTCTGATCACTGTATGCTATCTGTGGTCTTGAATGTTTTAGACTCCCTTCAGAGGGGTAAGTAAGGACATCTGGAGATTGAATTCGACTCTCCTCGAGGAAGAACATGTTAGCCAATCCTTTGAGGAATTCTTTCAGGCACAGGTGACCATCCTGGACTTTTGTAGCAGCAAGACTGAGTGGTGGGAACTGACCAAAAAGGGCATCACTGGATTCTTCTAGCCAATAGAAAGCAGTTTGATAGACACATGACCTACCAAAGGTTGTGGAAGAAGCTGGATATTCTTGTCTCGAGAGGAGGAGAACCTGGGGCAATCTCTGAGGTGAAATTCCTCCTCAGGAAGTGTCAGGGCTCCGGGTATGACCAGAGGTGTGTGGACTGACACAGGGAAACGCAGGCTTCAGATATGGTATAAACAATATGATTTATTAAGACTAACAATACAAAACGCAGTGCAAAACTAAACATAAACACAGTGCAAACAAACCAAACCACCCACCGATAACAATACATACAATGCAAGAGTCGTCAGGCAGGCCGGGTCAGTAGCAAACGGGCAAACGGAATACCAGGAACAGGCGGGAGAGTGGTCGGGGTCACAAGCTGGGTTCAGTAACTCACGGGCAGCGCAGTGCAGAGGGTCAGGCAGAGAATGGTCAGGGTCACAAGCCAGGGATCAAACAGGAGAAGTCAGCAGAGGTCAGGATCAGGCAGGGTCGGCAACAAGTCAGGCTGAAACAGGAACACAGGATACAAGATACAGGGGCCCATGGAAAAAACACACACCAAGGCCCTGACTGTGAGTCTGGCCATTCCTTTAAATACAACCCCTGCAATCAGCTTCAGGTGTTTGGCTGACTGCAGGGGTGAGACTCTGATTGCTGAGAGCACCCACTGGCCAGCCCTGGTACTGCAGCCCACAAGGCAGGTGAGTCCCACCATTATTGGCAAGTCCATTCCTGACAGGAAGTGTCAATATGACCAGCAGGCCTCTTTGGTTCTGGAGAGGGACTATGGGAAGTACCACTCGCCCGACCCTTACTAGAACTGCAAACAAGGTGTAGCTGTTAAGACTGTCGTTGACCTTAAGGATAGTACAGATTCCTTAACAAAGTCAAGGTCAGGGATCCTGGAGGTCGTGAGGTCCTTTTATGCTGATCTTCTTTGGAGGAAAGAGCTTGATCGAGGCAAGATGGAAGACTTTTTGGACTCTAAGTCTAAATGGTGAGAGATGTTCCATTGATGAATTTGAAAAAGGAGATCACAGTTGAAGAGGTGATGAGGGCAATTGAGCAGCTAGCCATCAAAAAGTCACCTGGACCGGATGGCTTGATGGTTGAGCTTTACAAAGCTTTTAAGTCTGTTCTGGCCCCACATTTGGTAGAGATTTTTAACCGCTGCCTCGCTGAGGGGACTCTTCCCCCTTCCATGAGGCACTCAGCTGTGATTCTTCTGTCAAAAGGTAAGGATCCTTCAATGATTGAGAATCGGCACTCCATCAGCCTTCTCAATGTTGATTGAAAGGTGCTGGCAAAGATACTTTTCTGCGCTTATCGTCAGTAGCAGAGTCTTTGCTTTCTCCCCGCCAGCACTGTTCGGTCCAGGGTAGGAGCACCTTCACAGCGGTGTTAGCTGTCCGGGAGGCCCTGGAGCAGTGCAAGGATGCAGGCTGAGGAAAGTACTTGCTGGCATTGAATCAGGCAAAGGCTTTTGATTGTGTCAACTGTAAGTTCCTGTGGCTGCTCTGTAGTAAGTACGGTCTGCCAGGTGGCTTTGTCGAAAGTCTTTGGTTGAAAGTCTTGTATAAGGGGGCGGAAAGCTTCCCTTATTAATGGTTGGGTTGGGCAGTCCTATGAGGTTGGCTCTGGAGTGCACCAGGGTTGTCCTCTGAGTCCCCTGCTCTATGTGTTTGCAATCGACCCCTTCATCAGGAGGCTAGAGAGCGGCATGTTGTGTGGGGTACCAGTGGGGCTCCCAGGTGAGCCACCTTTGAGGGTTGTTGCCTATGTGGATGATGTATCAGTGATTGTCACTGGGATGGATGAAGCAGAGGAGGTGGTCTCTCTGTCATCACGGTACTCTGAAGCATCAGGCTCCAAGACCAACCAGGATAAGAGTAAAGTTTTCAGGATGGGAAAGGAAGGTGAGGTGTTTGATATCCTGGACACCTTTCCAACGCTCCAGGAAAAGATACTAGGCATTGAATGCGGACCCGGCGATTATGGCTTTAAAAATTGGGAAGGCAGGCTGGAAGTTGCCAATACTAGGGTGATTAGCTGGAAGAGATGGAAGTTACCTCTGAGGGAAAGGGTTGATTTGATTATGACTTACCTGATTCTGATCTTCTTGTATGTCAGCTGTGTCTGCATCTTGCCAGTGTCTCTCTATGCTAGGGTCTCTAGTGTGTTCTTCCAGATGCTGTGGGGGAACAGACTGAACCTCATCAAGAGGAACGTCACCTATCTATCCAGGAGGGAGGGAGGCTTAGGTATGGTCAACACACACATGCTTGGGGATACTGGTGTGGGTTCTAGGCATTGGGTGATCTGAAGGTACAGAACTACATAGTCTGTCAGAGGTCATGTGGTCCAAGTTTTTTTTATTTTTTTTTTATTTTTTTTTTTTTTTCGCTGGCCAATTTCTTTTACCGTGCAGAAGTTAGTGCGGCCCTGCCGAATAGTTGGTGAAGATTCAGGTTAGCTCTGAGGAAATTCACTTATTGAGGGTCTTGAGCGGGGCCCTATAGCGGGACAACAGCCCCCTTGAAGTGGGTTGGAAGCCCCTGAAATCCTGTGGGAACTCACCCTATACCCTGATTAATGTTTGGAAAGAGTCACCCTGTAAATCCTTAGGGGTCTGGACAGGCTGTGACTTCACAATGGTAGGCTCTTGATCATGCGGTTCGAACTATCGCTGTCAGATGTGAGCAGTAATTGTTATCGGGAGGAGTGTTGCAGGTGAAGAGACTATGGACCATGGTCTGCTTCGATGTGCCTGATTTAACATAGACATGTGACTTGAAGGAGCGATCACGCCGGCCTCCGTCCGTTCCTTGCTCAAGTGTAGGAGCTGGCCATTATGCTCTATAGTGGGTGTACGGTCATTCCAACAATCAGTGGAGATTTGTTCATAGGATACACTAGGTGTGAGTTAGCCCAGTAGTCACCTTTTGTTTATGACAATGCAAAGAAAACAGTTAATGAACTGAATTGAGGTCTACCAGGAATCTGAAAATCAAAAAGACTCAGTTAAATTAATCAGACCTGTCAGACTTATAAAAAGAGTCTAGCATTCTCATTGACGTACGTTCTTAAAATATAAATAATATGTGGAATCGCGTATGCACATTATTAGGTGCAATAAGGATAGGTTGTAGGATGGCGCAAAAGCGCGGGCTTTGGTCGTTGGCGTTTATGTAATTAGCAAATTTAAAGAAAGATTAGAATGTAACAAATATTACACCTATATTAGACTGTTATACAAGTTAATATTGCTATTATTCAAATATGTTAAAGACAACTATGCATTTGAATATGAGTGTTCATACATTCTATTATCAAATTTAATACTTCTATTTCACTTTAAATATCTAAAACAATTTGGATTGTCTAAAAATAACTTTCCCAATATAATTTAAAAAATTGATTCTCTTTAATCAAGTTAACTTTAAGATGTTAAAAGTCATCGGCGCGGTATAAATGCATGTGATCAATATGAGATGTAATTTACCAAAAAAGTGCAAAGAATTGCACTAATGAT